CCCGCCCCGAGCCCGGAAGTGCCCCTGCTGGCGTGAGTTTCAGCCCCAGGTCACTGCAGACCCTGGAATCAAGGTCAGGGTCTCACGTGCGCTGGGACACACGTCCCACCCCGGGCACGTGGTCACAGCGTGCGGGGCAGCACTTCTGGACCTAGGCCTGGGGCCCCGCTCTTCCTGGTTGAAGCTATGAGCACTTGGGGGGGCAGCGCCGCCCGCGGGCTCCCGCTCCCCGCGGGCTCAAGACCTCCTCCTCGGGCTGGCGGCCGGACTCACCCGCTGCAGGGCCCTCTCCCGTCAGCTTTGCCCCCAGCCCTCGCCTCGCGGGCCCTGGGCTGCTCCGCTGCCCCTGGGCGACTTTGCCATCTCTCAGCCAGCCTGCGTCCGTGCGTCCGTCCTCACTGCGTGTGCCACCGGCTGACATCTGCCTTCTCCTTAACCTGCTTTTTGACTGTCCCTTGTCTGCAGTCAGGGACTGTGATGTTAAGATTTATAAGATGAAATAAATGCCGGTTTTCTTTGCCTAGGACTCAGGGCGCCTGCAGGGCGTCGGAGGGCAGCCTGGCTGGTTGCCAGGGAGACAGCCCTGGCGGGGGGGGGGGCGGTACACGTGCGCCTGCAGGCGGGGGCGGCTTGCGGGGGCGACGCGGGCCACGAGGGGGCAGACAAGGCCCGTCGCAGCCCGGAGGAGCGCGTTTCCCCAGTCTCCCCTGAAGGACAGCCACGGCGTTTGCCGTGCTTACGGTAACATTGTCTGTAGGAGCAATTGGGATTTACCATTTGATCGTGTGTTGATTTATTCTGGGTGCTGGAGACGAGATGGGAAGAAAAACAAAAACCCTGTACAGGACCGGTGTGCCCGGCGCCTGTGCGTGTGGGTGGGGACTCACTGCCAGCCTGCAGGAAGCTCGGGGCTGGTGGGGGACGGCAGACAGAGCCGAAGTTGTGTCTGTTGGCGCATGCGCCACTGCGGAGAAAGACTAAGCTAGGACGGAGAGCAGGGTGGGGAGTGTGGTGAAGTGTGCGCGCGCTGTGTGTGTGTGTGTGTGTGTGTGCGCGCGCGCGCGCGCGCGCTGTGTGTGCTTAACCAACATGACGGGAAAGGGAAACGAGGCTGGCTGAGAAGTATCCGAGGGAGCGGGCGTCCGAGCATTTGGGCACAGAGTGTGCAGGGCAGAGCAACAGCAGGTGCAAAGGCCCTGAGGCCAGCCAAGCAGGATGACGGGGAGGCCCCCGGAGTGATACGATGACAGGGACAGAGCTGCACAGACACCGGAGGTCTGGAGGGCCCCAAACGACTCTGGCCCCCGCCTCGGGGCCAGATGAGAGCCAGGAGAGCTTATCAAATCCCTCTGGGGCCCAGAAAGCGGGCTGTCTCCCCGGCAGGTACCCACGCGGCCAGACCCGCCCCAGGGAGGCGCCTGGAAACTGGCGTGGGAAAGGGGACAGGCGCGGCCACCCTCGTGTGGGAGCCCTGCGGCGGACCCCACACCCGCAGCTCCTCTTCCTGTGCCTCGCGATTCCCTGGACCACCTGGACCACCGAACTCCTTCCCCAGGCGGGAAACAGAGGCCCGGCCGCTGGCGGAGAGGGAGCCGGGGCGGGGCCTCCCGGGCCGGGCGAGGGCAGAGTGGGGGCTCCAGGCCGCCCGCCTTCTCCTCCACGCGCCCAGCCCCTCCCTCCTCGGCCTGCGCCCCAAGTTCCCGCGCCCTAGGCAGCGCCTAGTGTCCCACCGGGACGGGCTGCAACTCTGAGGTGGAGGCCACGGGGCGTGTGGAGGAGACTGAGGCCGGGAAGGCGCGCTCTTCTGGGTTCTGGTCCCGAAGTGCACTCATCCCAGAAACAGCCTCTCGGTGGATCCACTCCTTCGTTCAGGTGGTCCTTTATCTGCCCAGGAATAGTCAACCTGGACCTGGTGGCCATGCCTATAACCCCAGCCACTCAGGAGGCTGAGGCAGGAGGGTCGCAAGTTTGAGACTGGCCTGTGCAATTTAGCGAGATCTTTGTTTTACAACAGCAAAAAGAGGGCCGGGGATTTAGCTCAGTGGTTCCCATGCCTGCTTCACAAGCGAAAGGTTCCGAGTTCGATCCTAGTACCAACCAACAAACAAAAAACAAACAAGCAAAAAGGGCCGGGCATAGTGATGCAGGCCTGTGATCCTAGCATTTGGGAGGCTGAGGCAGGAGGATCTCTTCAAGCTCCAGGCCAGCTTGAGCTATATAGTGAGTTCGAGGCCAGCCTGAACTACATAGTGAGACCCTGTCTCAAAAAGCAAAACAAAGCCGCCTGCTTTGCAAATGCAAGGTCCTGAATTCGACACCACCCCCAGACCAAAAAAAAATTTAAAAACCAAAACAAACAAAAACAGCATAAAAGATTGAAAAGTGCTGGGGATATAGCTCAGCACGCCCTGGCTCAGTACTCAGAATTAGGCCTTGCCCACGCTGTCAGTGACCACCACCCGGTGCAGCCCCCAAAGGTCAGAGGCGGAGCCAGGGTCTCGCAGTTCCGTGCTCACGACCTGGTGGGTGAGCATTCACGGAGCACATCCTTCCGGGATGAGTTCTTCATGGTAAGGGGGTATCCCGTCACCTACTACAGCGTGGCCCACCCTGAGGACAGACCGTAAGAGCCCTGAGCCAGCACTGGGGAGGAAAACCTGGGTCCTGAGGCTGTGGCCCCCAGGGAGCCAGGCCAGCGCCGAGAGCAGCTGCAGCTGCTGGGCCGGGCCGGGGCCAGGGTGGGAATCACACCTCGCAGCCAGGGTACGGTTAGAACTGGCAAAGGGAAGATTTTAGGTTATGTTGTGGGGGGGTTTTGTACCGGGACAAGGCAGGCGAGGCACCACTGAACTAAATCCCTGGCCCAGTGTTATTTTTTTTTTCACCACAATAATAATTTAAAAAGCAAACATGTTTCTTGCTCACACCGGACATACATGTAGTGGGGTTAGGGCTGAGGGCCGGGCGGGACCCTATAATCTCACAACAATGGAGCCGTAGCAAAAGGGAGGAGAGAGAAGAGCTGTCCTTGGTGGCTGGTGGCACAGGCCTGTAATCAAGCACCCTAGCGGGCTGAGGCAGGAGCATCAAAAGTTCAAGTCTACCCTGGGCAACTGAGCAAGGTTCGGTCTCAAAATAGCAATTTTTAAAAGGCTGGGGATGGAGCCCAGTGCAAAGGCCCTGGCTTCAATCCCCCGTGTGGTCGAGAGCGGGAAAGAGGGGCCCTGCTGGCTCGGAGCGGAGGGAGCCGGGCTGCACACGCAGGCGCAGGAGGTCACCTGCCTGCCTGGGCCGGGCCTCGGAGCCAGACGGGGCAGGGATTCGTCCGGGGGTGTCACCCCACCCCCGGCTGTTTGTTGAAGACCTGCTGCGAGGTCGAGGTTGTCGCCTGCTGGGCCGCCACCCAGACCTCGGCGGTCACAGGCCCTGCCGACCCCAGCCAGTGCCCAGCGCAGGGCCCCTGACCCCTCGGTGCCCCTCCCCGCAGGCCTCCCGACCGCATGTGCACATGCGCGAGTGCCGGCCCCCACTGCCCGCCGCTGACCCAGGCCGTCCCTGTCCCAGGCCCTGCTGAGCCGCCCAGCGCCTGGGCTTTTGGTCACAGGAAGGTGCCACCAAGTACCACGTACACATCGTCTGCCTAATGTCTTTCCGTAAATACACGTACTCTTGTAAAGAAGAAAAAGGAGGTAAATGTGCTGTGAAAGAAATTTTTATATCAAAACCATGTTTATAAAATCAGACCTAATGGAAATTAATGTTAAAAGTAAATCTGTGACCATCAGAGTTTTTTAAAGCTGGTGTCCCTTTGGGCCGTGGTGGCACATGCCTGTAATCCCAGCACTCGGGAGGCTGAGGCAGGAGGATTGCTGTAAATTCCAGGCCAGCCTGGGCTACGTAGTGAGTTCAAGGCCAGACTGAACTACATAGCAAGACTCAGTCTCAAACAAACAAAACAAAATGAAAGGAAGAAAATAGTGACTCAGGAGAGTGTGTGGGCGGAGGGAGAGGGAGAGTGAGCAGAAAGTTGCCCCAGGCAGTGACTTCTGCCCTCGAACCAGGGCTGTCTTACTTCCTGCAGGTCTTCTCGGGTGTCACCCTGCCTTAAGGAGCTTCTGCCAACATCAGCAGCTCCTGGGCCACACCTGAGTTCACACTAGATCCCCTCTGTGGAGTCAGGACAATAGGCAGGGAGTGTCAGAAAATCCAACTAGAGCCAGGCATCTAGTGATGCTAGCACTCGGCAGGCTGAGGCAGGAGGATCTCTGCCAGTTAGCCTGGGCTACATAGCAAGACCCTGTCTGAAACAGACAAGCAGACAAACAAAAAGGAAGAAAATCCAACAAGAACTGCATCAGAGAATGCATGAGGAATTGGGAGCGGGACATCCCCTCACCCCGAGGCGCCAGAGCCTTGCTGTCCACTGCACGCCTGAGTCTCATCAGCCCCGTCTTGGCGGGGACAAGCCAAGCCGTTGACGAGCCCTCCTGTCAGGAGCCCTTGAGTTGGGAGCGGGGATGAAGGGGCCTGCTTTGATAACTGTTTCTTTCTCTAAGATAATTCTTCTAGCTTTCAAATGTCTCCGCAACACCTCTCGCTCTTGGCCACATTGTCTGCAGTGGCAAAAGCCCAGAGCAACCAGCTTGTCCTGAAAGGGAGAAGCTCAGTAGTTTGCACACCACAGACTCTGCAGGAACTGTTTAAGAAGAAGGAGAGAAAAGAAAAAAGACAAAAGAGAATAAAAGTTCTTTCTGCTTTAACGTGGGACAACTTTGCAAATCTGTTGTGAAGTGCAAGAAGCCGAGTGTGGGTTCCTGCGCTACACTCAGTGTGTGTGTGGGGGGATTGCCGCAGTGGAGCTGAGCTTGGTAGTGCATCCCCCCTGCCCCGGGTCCACCCCCAGCCCCAGAGAAGCGGTGGAGAAAAACTACACACACGTGTGTGCATATATGCATGCGTGTCATATGTTTACATAAACATCTTGTAAATGACATAGTGTCATTAGAAGGGAACAGAAATTAAAAATATTAGTTGATTTTGGTAACAGGAAAGTGAAGGAGATGTTTTATCTTATTTTGGTGTTTTGAGACAGGTCTGGCTGTGTAGCCCAGCTGGCCTTGAATTCCTTGATCCTCCTGCCTCAGCCTCCTGAGTGCTGGATGACAGCCATGTGTCACCGCCCCTGGGTTGAAGGAGATTTGAAGGAGGCAGTCATTCTTCGCCACACTGTGAAGTCACGGGATTATGGCAGAAAGCAGTCTTGGGCCACACGCATGCAGCATCTCAAGGATGGCTCCTGGGCAGGACGGGCCACCTCCTGGGACTCTGAGAAATGCACGTGGCAACAGGGTCCCCGAGCAGCGTTGTCCCGAGTGACCAGCGTCTCGCACGCCTTCACTCACGAAGCAGGCGGCCTTCCCGGTGTCCGCACCAAGTGTTTGCAAACAAGGGGAGATGGGCAGGAAAGGGCAGCGAAGCTTCCCCAAAACTCCCCGCCCAGTGCTGCACCTCTGGCCCCATGGACAGACGGGTCGTCACAGTCCCAGTTTCTGGGTCCCA